GCAAAGCATAACAAATAAATAAATATATATGGCATTAAAGGACATTCAAAGAGATGAAAAGGCACACACACTACTTACATTACTTGTACAGTTTACATAGGATGGGAAGGCTGAATGCTGTCACCTTAACTCTATCCATTGAACTATACCATCTCACAAAAGTCTACTAAAATCTATTTATATGGAATATTTATCAAATAATGTAATAAAGTGTAGTAAGCTACTAAGAAGTATAACATACATATACATTCCTCCCTTGGTAATGGCAGCTACTGTATTAATTAATTAATTAATTAATTAATTCAACAATTCTACTCCATTGGATTTCTGCTCACCTTCTCTCAAATTATTCAGGACTCTTTCAACAAAAACTGAAATGGTCACTGTTTAGGGAATGACCTCAACTGTAACATTGGGAGGGGGCGGGTATAGAGAAGGACCAGAGCTGATACCTTCCTTAATTTAATAATTAACTATTTTAGTTGATGGTATCTGCATCTAGGTTCCAAGTCCCAAAATGAACAAAATAATATTTTAAATAGAAATGTCTGCTATTAGGGAAAAGAAAAGTCAGAGTACAAAAAACAATCCACATAGAATAGTTTGTGGAGGAAGAAACTCTTACATTTACTGTGAGTTCAGAGAAAATGAACTAATGTATTTTGTAATAAGTAGGCACCTTCTAGCAAATTACATTTCACATTTCTATTGGAGAAGTACTTAAGAAGGAGCAGAATTTTATATTTTCCTTCCTTCTGAGTGAGAAATTGTTCAAATGTACATTAGGAAGCTGCTGCAGAGAAAGCCCGAAGTCAATGGAACCGAAGGGCAGCCTTGTTACAATGCACAACCACTACGGGGACACAAAGAAAGAGGCATCGGGTCTGGCCTCTGAACTAAGTCAAGCATTCAGGTAAATGAAGCAGAAGCTCTAGGTCCAAGAAGCAAGGGTAACTGTCCCCAACAAATTTTCCTGTAGCTTATAGTGTAAGGGAGAGCCCGTGAGCCTGAGTAGAGTCAGCTGGCTTGGTGCACATTAGGCTAAACAAAACAATGGGTGAGGAAGGGAACTGAGCACCCTTCCCCCTCCCCCCAATGTCTGGAAAATAATCTCCCCACAAGAACTGAATTGGTCTAGTTGTGGTCGGAGTGACTTAACTCAGAGACCCAACTGCACCCACGGACTCTTGGGAATACCTGGCAGCAGCCACCCGCCTGGCAATAGGGATGGTAGTCACGAGGACATCAGTGATTACAGCAGTGGTTCTCAACCTTGGCTGCACATTAGAATCACCTGGGAATCTTTTTAAAATCCCGATTTCTGGGCCTCATCCTCCGGAAATTCTGTGTCTTTGTTACTAAGGTTGTGGCCCCACCCCATAACAAAGACACAGAATTTCTGGAGGATGAGGCCCAGAAATCAGGATTTTAAAAAGATTCCCAGGTGATTCTAATGTGCAGCCAAGGTTGAGAACCACTACCTTAGATTGTCTGGATTTTGCTGTCAAACTTAATAGCAGCACTACCATCAGTGTAATGGATCCTTATGCACTACTTGGTAGAGTTTGCAAAGTCATCCAGACTTCAGGGGTACATCTGAATTCTGGTTCCAGACAGATATGGAAGATACAGAGTCTGCAAGACTATGCTCTCGACCACTGGACGTAGCACAGCAAGGACTTATGCTGGACTCACTCATACTGGAATACATTTCATTGAACCCTTCAAGTAATGATTTAATTGCTAATTATAGAAGGCTTTTACTTTTACTCATAAGTCCTTTGATGTATTCATTATAAATACCATTTTACATAGAAAGAAAATAGATGCACATTTCTCAAGGTTCAAAAGATAGCAAAATAGGCACCCATTCTTATTTGTTACTAGATAAGGCGTGTACCTTATCCTTCCATACCTGAAATCTCTAAGGACACAACATGGGCAGTTTTATCCCAATTTAGACAGATAAATGGAGAAATGAACTGAAACCTCATTTTGTTTTTGCATTCTAAATTTTTCTTAGGGGCTCCTGTGAGAAGAAACGCGCCCTCTGAAATTCCTTCCAAAACAAGCTTGCATTAGTCTCCAATGCCGTTCGTAGGCAGCACATTTAACTTGCTCTTGTATTAAATAATCATCCACATGAAATGACTTAGGTATGGGCATGTCATAATCAAACTATGCTTCTTCGTTATGGTCCATAATATACTTAAGTTGGAAATCAGAGGGAAAATAGTACAATGGCATGTGTAAGGGGTAATTCATTATTCTGAGCAACTTACTAGGTATCCAAGGAAAATAACTAAATGAGACCTTTGCTTCAATAAACCTTCAAACAAAGCTTTAAAAAAATCAATACTCTTCTACATAGTTCGAAGTGTTTTAGCATCCTTACACTTTCGGTTGGCAGACGTTGATACAAGTCTGAGAATGTTAAGGAGAACAGACTGGCTAAGGAGACCAATGGTGTGAGCTGAATTGCCTTGTACTCCAATAAACTTCTCAGCAAAAAGAACCTTATTCAGGGAACATTAACCCTAACCTCAGCCAGAAATCTCATTTGGCAGCTGCAGTGAAACTTGTAAGCGAATAGCTCGACGCAACCAACCCTTGTTTCTTCAACAAGTATCTATTGAGCACTGACTGCATGTAAGGCATCCGGCTGGGCATCAGGCAGTGCGAGCTGGTGTTGCCAGGTAGAAAGTAAGTGACATGGGAGAGGTACCAAGTGGTGTGTGCCTTCAGAAGGGGGATCTATCATATCCACTTGAGTTGCATCTTGAGAAAAGGCAGGATCCGTATATCAAGAATGTGAGAGGGCAAAGGAAATAGCATCATCCACTGAAAGAAACTGCGAACTCCCACAGCTTATAACAGATCTAGCAATAACTTCATTGGTCTAGAGCAGCGGTTCTCAGCCTGCGGGTCACGTCCCCTTTGGGGGTCGAACGACCCCTTCACAGGGGTCACCTAAACCATCGGAAAACACATATATAATTACATATTGTTTACAGTAGCAAAATTACAGTTAAGAAGTAGCAATGAAGCCCTGACTGGTTTGGCTCAGTGGATAGAGCATCGGCCTGCAGACTGAAGGGGCCCAGGTTCGATTCTGGTCAAGGGCATGTACCTGGGTTGCAGG